ATAGTTTTGTAAAAAATCAAGATCGTGTGATGAAAATGATGCAAAAAAATGAAACTAATCCGATGAATTCAATTTTTTAAGAATAGACAATTTAATGAAGTGATAATGATGCAAAAATAATGAAACTAATGCAGTGATTTTAATGTTTCAAGAATAGAGAGTTTAATGGAGTAAAAATTATGCAAAAATAATGAAAGTACTGTAATGATTATAGTTTTGTAAAAAACTCAAGATCATCTAATGAAAATAATGCGAAAAAACTAAAACTCGTGCAATGATTCTAATTTTTCCAGAATAGACTATTTAACGGAATGAAAACGATTCAAAAACAATGAAAGTAATCTTATTATTATAGTTTTTCAGAAAAATTAAGATTATCTGATGAAAATCATGCAAAAAAAATGAAACTAATGCAATAATTTCAATTTTTTCAGAATAATCAATTTAAGATAATGAAAATGATACAAAAATAATGAAACTATCGAGATGAGTTTGATTTTCGCGGAATAATTAAAGTAACGGAATTTTTTTGATGAAAAGTTTGGAAAAAATCATTTAAATGAAATTTTTTTCATTTTTTTATTCCCTGGGATACACCCACACCGACACTCACACACACATCTACACGCACACGCACACCCCACCCACACTCACAACCACGCACAGCCACCAACACTCATACTCACACCCACACCCTATCCACACTCACAGCCACAGCCACACCCACACCCACCCACACCCACACTCACACCCACCCACACCCACATCCACACCCACATCCACAACCACATCCACACCCACATCCACACCCACACCCACACCCACACCCACACCCACATCCACACCCACACCCACACCCCACATCCACACCCACATCCACACCCACATCCACACCCACAACCATACCGACACCCAAACCCACTCACAGCCACAGCCACAACCATACCGACACCCACACCCACACACAGCCACAGCCACAACCATTCCGACACCCACACCCACTCACACTAATACGCAAAGCACACCTCACCCATACTCACAGCCAGAGACACCACCACACCCACATATTACTTTGAATCGATATTCTTCTTTGTCATGAACCCTCACCGACACCCTCACACCTACCTTGAAAAAAATTCCATCGACTAACGTAGCTCATTTTAAAATTTCTCAAACTGTATTCTTAGAAATTAGAAGAGGTTTAAGTGAAAAGTTCTTTATTGAATTATTTTAATTTATTATGAGAGCAGGCAAAAGCAAGAAATGGTAAATATTGATGCATGAAGACAGACGGTAATAATTCGCCCGAAGTCTTCATTTCACCATCAGTGAAAATTGAAGATATTTAAATTCTACCAGTCTTTTTTGCTGAAATGATTTCTTTCACACGATAGTAATGATATTTTCGGTATATTTGTCCTTCTTAATACTAATTGCGACAGTATCCGCATTTTTTCCTGTTAGTCCAAACGCTTGGAACCTTACTTTTAATCAATCGTGGCACACAGTAGTAGAGACAGGGTATTCTGGGGGTAGCAGCAATTATATGTTGGACTGTCGTTCGCGTCCGGTTCTTCCCTGGACTAATATGTACACAGCTCTCGTGCTACAACGGAATTGTTCCGGACCCATGTTTTCGTCGAATACTTCGATTGGCTACGGTTACTGTTCAACTCGACCATACGTAGCTTGGAATTATACACAAATATGTGTTACAACTGGCTACTACTCGGATTGTTACATGATCAACAATTCGATATGCCAAGCAATGGTTAACAGTAGTTTGTTGACAAATACTGCTCCTGTTTCACGTCCTTGGATCTTACCAACTCTAACGATACCATTAAGTTGTGCGGACTATGCTTTACCCTCATGGTATGCCATGTGTTTGCAGTACTACCAATGGTACGGTTTCAATCAAGTGTCTTGTATCAATTACTTTGCTTCTAATATTTTTCTTTGCTATGTCTTCTATGATCCATACAATGCCACCGGCTATTCAATGGGCTTTGGAGTACTAGAAGGTTATGAACACTTGAATAATGTAATACTATACAATGTTGCAGCAAATTTAAGTACCAGTACTGGAGTAACATATCGCCTGTATGAATCTACTACTCAAGTGCTTTTTGCATTTCCTGTTCTATTGAGTAATAACGTCTCATATTACTCTTGTTATTGCTTTTGCCTGACGAACATGTGCAATACTAATATAGCAACCTGTTCATCTGGTCTGGCATTCAATTGTACCGTTCCAACATTTATAAGTAGTATTCATTCGGCAGTAGCAGTCAGATTGTATGTCTATCTTTGTAGCATCAACCACAACAACCTTCAATATTACAACAAATAATACAACTACAATTTCTTCGACTAGTGAGTATAATTCAGAATGAGGTGTTCGTCTAAGGTAAACCCATTTTAGCTATTATGAATACGACATCAAATGCTTCATTGGTCAATACGACGGCACCCACTGTCACGAACACTGCCTCAAACGCGACAACTGTGATCACAACTGCGACTTCTTCAAGCAGTAAGTAAAATTGAGAATAACGCGTTCGTCTAGGGTAAACACATTTTAGCTATTATGAATACGACAGTAAATCCTTCATTGGACAACCCAAATTTATTGAAAATTAAGTCATTTAATGGCATAGAAGGGACAATTAATAAATAAAAGAAGATCGCTAGTCGAATTGTATTGTCTAATTGAGTTATAAATTTGATTTTGGTCTCTTCGAGTCTTCTTGTTTGTAGAATGCAAACATTCTTTTAGGAATCAAAATCGGAAAGTAGTGATTATTCGCCATTACTTCAGTCTATATGATGAAGGCCGTTTTGGCAAGGAAATATTGTAGAATTTTTGATAACCTTAGTGCGCTATTCTGAATGAGAAGTTTGTCATACGGTTTTAGAAATATTGCTATTTAATTTCTTTTGACAAAAGGTGTGGCATCAAATGGTAATAGCACTACTGCAGCATCGAACTCTGCATCGTCAGACTCTGCTACACAGGTTACTTCTTTCGTGCTTGTTCTAAAATAGTGACTGTTTCATTGCTTTTTAAAATTGTTAGAATTCAGTCAACACTGGTTTGACCATTGGCGTTATAGTATGCGGAGCACTCTTCCTCGTCAGTACATCAGTTGCAGTCGTATTGGTTATCAAGTTATGTAAAAAGTAAATTTTATCTTATTGAACTTTGTAATTTTATTATTTCAGTGTTTTTACACTTATAGGAGTACACCGTTCACAAACCGAATTAAACCTGAAAACGATCTAAGCAACTCAGTCGAATCAATGAAAGAAACAAAACCTGAAAACGAAATAAACAACTCAGTCGAATCAATAAAAGGAACAAAAGCTGAAAACGAAATAAGCAACTCAGTCAAATCAATGAAAGAAACAAAACCACAAACTCCGCTTCATGAAATGATTCGAGCGAATCGTACCCATTATTTACGGATGAATACTCGCAAAAAGTCCGGATGAAACCATAATTCAATTGAACTACGAGAGAAAGACTCCTTTTTTTTGCTTTCCGATGGAATTTTCAATTCTATATCACGACAGCGTTTGAATTAGAATTTCTCAATTACAGCATGAAACAAGTATTCTCTTCACTATCTCATTAAGAGGAATTCTTTTAAGGGGGCCCCCTCAGAAACGAACGTTTTTATTTTTCCATGGAATTCAACCAAAATTTCAGAGAATGTTAGTCTTGACCGGAGTAGATTATGGTTAAAATATCTTCTCAAATCTGTGAGTTATTCACGAGTTATCATCTATCTATTGGTCAAAAGTACCCTGTACACTGGCAAGATTTTCACATTCAGGACACGAGCTAATATAGCAGGGCTGTTTTTAAGTTGTAGAGTACCCTTGGTGCTAGATCATCACAGAGTCTGATTTTCGAAATTCCCATTATTTGTTTTATAAAAACCATTTTCCAAAAACTTCTCAAATTCATGACCTAAAAACCGCTAATATAAATGAGACATGTGAGTTTTTTATTTGGCCAATAGAGAAATACAAAAATATCGGGCTCTGTGAGGATCTAGCCCTAACTGCCTTCTATGTAATAAAAAAACATTATCATTTCCATGTCGATTCGTTGTGGAAAAAAACCTGCCCGCGTAAACTGCATGCACGAAAAAAACTGATTTTGAGAAAAACGAAAAATAAGTATTAGAAACCGATTTTTCCTAAAAAATCACCTGATTTATATATCAATATTCAAGACAGGCTATAAATATGTGACCTTAATATTAAGTTTTAATAGTCTCGTAGTGATTATCATAAAAAAAACTTTGCCAAATACTGATGCAAAGACAAAGGAGCCTAAAAAGTCGAAAAAGCTTGAAAAAAACCTGTGAAAATTTCTCGAAAAATTTGATAGGAGGAGCCGAGTTTTAGATGATAAACTCTTCAAAATCAATTCATTTTTTGATAAACCATAGATATTCTGAAAGAGGAGACTTTGGTACATCTTCCTATGATAAAACTTCAATCTCGACTCATCTCCGAAAAATTGGATTTTCTGAGGAGAGGCCCTTAAAAAGAATGATTATTCATACTATTTAGGGTGTGGATGTGGATGTGGATGTGAGGCGCGAGTGTGCGTGTGGGT